GTGCCAGCTCCAGGAGCTGCCGCGCGGCACCCCCAAAGCATTCCCTGCACGCTTCCAGAGCGCGCTGGCAAAAGTCTTCGCAGCAACACAAGGTTAAACTTGAAAAAAATACGGGCTTTGTTTTTCAAGCTTGAAACACAGTAAATGCAGTCTCCTCCCCGTCTCAAAAGCTCAACGCTTCACGTAACAAAATAACGGAATATTTAGATCTCTTACTGCAAAAGGGTCGGCCTGTTCCCAGGAAATGGGTGCTCCCCAGGATGCCGGCCTCATCTTCTCCGGCAGGGATTCTGGTACAGCAACAAGAATAAAACAAATGTCTAACAAGGCTATTGCTGTAGCCAGGACCACAACCAAGCTGTCTCCGTAGACTCGGCCAAGGTAGGCACCGATAGCAGGGCTGGTAACTAAACTCGCCGCAAAAGTTGCTGAAACCTAGAAGAAAGAGGAGCTGCTAAGATTCTCGGTGACACGAGCCAGCGGTATCACTACCCACTTCTCATTTCCAGAAGCGGAACCACTTTCATCGGGTGGCGATTAAAAGGGACCAAGGGACCTTTCTCCTGTGACTCTGTGGTAGCAGCTGTGCTGTGTATTTTTCAGACAGCCAAAATTTTTCCAAGAAAAACAATTTTTTTGGGTTTTTTTTGTTTTTTTTTATAACTGGACAGCAATGCGAGGCTCACAGCACTCTTGCATGTACTGATATAATTAGGTTTAATTAACTACAGTCTGCTATCTGGGAAGTGACGTGCTGTGTTTAATCTTCATATTAGTGAAATACGCAATGACTGTTAAGAAAAAAAATTGCACATATCAAGGGCGTATTACATTGCATACGCTGGTTAATCCACCTCAGCACAGCGGCTCCTCAGCAAGCAGTTCTCAGGGAACCAGCCGGCCTCGCTGTGAAAGACGTTAACTTTAAAAATGAAGGAACTTTATCAAGGTATCTCAATCCCTGACGTGTACGGGCAGAAAGAAGCTCTTCAGTTCGATATCCACTGCTTTCGGTTCTTCCTCCCGAATATGAGAATGGATTCTGTAACTGGAACGCAGCGAGCAATTCTGCTAATCCAGAACACAGAGGGCTGCGAGGCTCCCGAGGTCTGGCAGGCTATCGGGAGATGATGGAGAGACGGGGCGAGCCGTAGGGACGTCAGGCCGAACAGTTCCTCAG